ATTGTGATCGGTGTGCTTATCTCTTGTCCGAGGTCTTTGAGGAGGTTTCTTAGCCACATTAGCTCGGTAGTTAGTCTTCTCATAGCTCGGTATTCAGCTTCGGCACTAGAGCATGCTACCACATTTTGCTTCTTGCTCTTCCAAGTGACTAGATTCCCTCCAATGAATGTGCAATAGCCAGTAGTGGATCTTCTGTCTACACGGTCTCCTGCCCAATCTGCATCACAGTATCCCACTAGCTCTGAGCTTCCATTGCACCCCATCCAAATGCCATGGCCAATCGTTCCTTGAACATAGCTGAGAATGCGCTTGACCATGTTCCAGTGATGTACCTTAGGAGCCTTCATGTATTGACTAACCTGATTCACAGCAAAACACAAGTCAGGCCTAGTTATGGTAAGGTAGATTAACTTACCAACCATCCTGCGGTATTGTGTGATATCATCAAATAGCTCATTGCAAGGCTCCCCCTCTCGTTCCAACTTATAGTTATCTTCAAGAGGGGTTTTCGCTAGTCTATCTCCAAGATTTCCTGTTTCACTTAACATGTCAGTCATATACTTTCTTTGTGAAAGAAACACACCCTCTTTTGATCTACAAACTTCAATTCCTAAGAAATATTTGAGTTCGCCTAAATCCTTAATATCAAAAACATTCTGTAAATAGCTTTTAGTAGCAAGAATGTTTACCTTGTCATTCCCAGAGATGATTATATCATCTACATAAATGAGAATGACTACTATACCTTCCTGGCTGGTGAGTGTGAATAGAGTGTGGTCAGCTTCTGATCGGCTGAATCCTCTATCAAACAGTACTCTGCTCAGCTTGTGGTACCATGCTCTAGGCGATTGCTTCAAGCCATATATCGCCTTCCTTAGTCTTAGTACTCTACCAGGAGTGATGCCTTCTTCTAAGCCGGGTGGTAGTGTCATATAGACCTCTTCCTCAAGTTCTCCTTGTAGGAAAGCGTTCTTTACATCCATTTGCCAGAGATCCCACTCTAGATTAACCGCCAAGGATATGATTACTCTAACCGTGTGGAGCTTAGCTACTGGTGCAAAAGTGTCTTTGTAGTCTTCCCCATATGTCTGAGTAAAGCCTCTAGTCACCAACCGAGCTTTGTACCTTTCTATTTCACCATTGCTCTTGTACTTGATAGTAAAGACCCATCTTGAGCTAACCGTTTTCTTCCCTTTAGGTAAGTCAGCTTCATCCCAAGTATGATTTCTTTCCATAGCTCCTTTTTCTTCCCTGATTGCTTCACGCCATTCCTCATGTTCCACTGCTTCTTCATAGGTCTTAGGAATATGACCCTGCTCTATTGCTGCCAAGAACACTCGGTGTTCCTCCGGAAGTTGTGCAAAGGAGCATGATGCCTGAGTTGGATGCGCCACGGCATTGCCATTGTAATACACTCTTGTGTTCACCCAATTAGAGGGGTCCTGCCTTTCTCTTGTACTGCGCCTTAAGGTAGTGGGAGCCGGAGCTTGGACTGGTTCTGCTTGTTGTAGACTTTGCAAGCGTGGACTTCTTCTTAGAGGAGCTGGTGCTTGAGCTGGTGCTGACCGTGTGGGTGCTTGATCTTGCTCTGAAGGTTGATCATGTGCATTGTCGTGGGAATCCGAGGCTGTGTGCTCAGCTGGTGGATCATCATTGTTATCACCATTCTCCCCCTCATGATCAACCGTAGGGGCTCTAGTATTGGTAGTGACACCGAGATGATCTAGGAGCAGCCGGAGGTTAGTGGCTCTATCTGATGTAGACTTGGAAATGTCTTGCAAGTCTTCCCATGGCTGCTTGGCATAGAAGCTTTCTGATTCCAAAAACTTCACATCTCTAGACACTATAACCCGGCGTGTAGTAGGATTGTAGCATTTGTACCCCTTTTGAGTAGTGGAATAGCCAACAAACATACATCTAGTGCTCTTGGCATCCAGCTTTGTTCTAAGATCTCCTGGAATTAAGACAAAAACACACACACCCAAACACTCGTAAGTGATCAAGAGAAGGTTTGGTTGAGTTGAGTACCTCATATGGTGATGAGTCATTGAGGACTTTTGTGGGTATGCGATTGATCAGGTAACAAGCCGTGAGCACTGCATCTCCCCAAAAACGCTTTGGTACATTGCTTTGAAACATCATGGATCTGGCCACCTCCATTAAGTGTCTATTCTTCCTCTCAGCTACACCATTCTGTTGAGGAGTGTAGGGACAGCTCGTTTGGTGAATGATGCCGTGTGAGTTGAGATATTCTTTGAATATGTTACTTGTGTATTCTCCTCCATTATCTGATCTGAAAATCTTAATCTTGGCATTAAAGTGATTAGTGACATGGGTTTGAAAGTTTCTAAATGCCTCAAAAACTCTATCTTTTGATGGAAGGAGAGTTAGCCAAGTATACTTAGATTTTTCATCTATGAATGTAACAAAGTATTTATTTTGATCTCTAGACTCACAGGGAGAAGACCAAACATCAGAATGCACTAAATCAAAGCATTTATCATAAATAGTAGAAGACTTAGGAAAAACAGTTCTACAATGTTTTCCTAAGATACAAGCCTCACACTCATCATTTTTTAAACACTACTTTAGGTAATAAAAGACTCAATGCACGAGCATGAGGATGTCCTAGTCTAGCATGCCAAATCGCATTATTAGCACAGGCTACAACATTATTAGAAGAAGCAAAGGTAGAATCTAAGAGCTTAGTGTCTTCAAGAACATAGAGATCATCTTTGGTAGTCCCTTTCCCAAGCAATTTGCTGGTCTTAATATCCTGAAAACACACATCATTAGGTCCGAATACAGCAATACAGTTTAAATCAGTTGTAGCTTTCTTAACTGACAATAAGTTAGAGATAAAGGTAGGCATATAAAACGCTTTAGAAGACCTTTCAAAGAGTTTAAGTTCACCTATTCCTTTAATTGGTACCTTTTCACCATTAGCAATCTCAACATTTCCTAAAGTTGGCTTTATATTACTAATTAGGCTTAAATCACTAATCATGTGATGTGAAGCTCCTGAATCAACTATTAGAGGTTTATTCTTAAGAGTATATGAAGATCTATAAGAATTACCCAAGTTGTTAACTACATGAAAGGAGGTACCAAGGGTGTTACCGGATTCTTTGAGTGCTTTGATCAGGGCGTCTAACTCTGTTTTCTTCACGAATTGAGATGAGTTAGCTATCCCCTCTTCACACATGTTCCTCTGAGAGGGCTCTCCCTTGTGACTCCCCTCTTCATTCGCAAAGTTAGCTCTTGTTTCCTTCCATTTGCTCGGTTTGAGGTGTGGATGAAGGATCCAGCATTTTTCTTTGCCATGCCTTTTCTTCTTGCAATGATCGCAGAATTGGCTCCTCTTCTCATCAAACTTGTATGCCCCCTTATTCGCTGAGACTAGCTCCCCCTTTCCTCCAAATAAACCGAGAGATCCTTGCTCCTTTTGGATTTGAGAGCATACTTCTTCAAGGGTTGGCAACCGTTCCGCTCTAAGGAGATGCTTGATGAGGTCATTGTAAGTTGAGCTGAGGGTCATGAGTAGGCCAAAGACTTTGTCTTGCTCTCTTCTGTCATTCAGGACTTGAGGGTCAACCGTGCTTGGCCTTAGCATCTCCAGTTCTGCCCATAGTGCTCTGAATCTTCCAAAATGCTTAGTAAACTCCATATCTTCTTGCCTTAGCTCATTGATAGCCTTCTTGACTTCAAATACACGGCTTAGATTGGATATATTGCCGAACACTTGCTTCAGAGTCTCCCATAGTTCTTTGGCGGTTTCACAGTATGAGTAAGCCTCCAAGATTTCATTACTAAGGGAGCTTTGTAGAAGAGCAAGGACGGTCTGATCTTCCTTGTACCATTGGGTCTCTTCAGCTGGGACAATGGCGGCTCCGGCGGCTGGTGGTGCTGCTATAGGGGCATCGCTTGAAACATGTCTCCAAAGACCTCTTCCACACAAGGCGGTTCTTGTGGTTCGTGACCACAGCAAATAGTTAACCCCTTTGAGGGTAACCGGTAAAGCCAATGGCTTGTTGTTCTCCAAGGCCATGTTTAAACACTATGGACCGTTGGGCAAAGTGAGTGACCGTTGGGTAAACGGTTTTGGATGATGAAGTAGAGATGATTAGAAGGTGAGCGAATACTAGTATGGTGGGAGGAGAGTGTTTTAGGCGGTTTAGAAAGTGTTTAGTGAGAATTTAGAGTAAAGAAAAATGGTAGAGAGTTATGGACCATTGGGTAAAGATTAAAGTGTTTCTGGAATTTTGAAAGAGTGAAAGAACGAAAGATGAAATGAAGAGGAGAGTGATGAAAATCAAAAGGTTGTAGTCCAAAGATCTACAAACCGCTCTGATACCATGTTGAGAAAGTTTGCGGATGATTATAATAAACGAGAGAAAGAGATGAAGAACATGAAGAACAAGAAAGAAATGATTAAGGATGATTATTATTCCTTAGTTGTAGATTACATTTGATAGAGATGATCTATTTATAGATCTACAAACATCCTAAGCTAACGGCTACAAGGAGTGAAACAATAAGAATAAACAATTATGTGGATCCCAAGAGTGAGAGTGACAGATCAAGGTTGACTCCAACGTCCACTTGCTTAAGTTAGACATGTGACCTTATCTTCTTAGCCTTGAGATGCATATGACCGTTAGACTAGATGATAAGGGCGAGCTTATTCTTGCCTTGTAAGTCACTTGATGCTGATATCCTTCCTTGAGTGTCACGGTTAAGTATGTGTACGGACACCCCTCATCCTTCTAGTTTGATATTCCTTCTCTTTTCCGTTAGTTTCTTTCCTCTGCGTCAGCCAGTCGTTAGCATTCAAAATTTAGTTTCCTTATCATACATTTGACATTAGTTAGCATTCAATAATGGTTTTATTTGACTTTCAAAATTAACTTTTTGAATTATTTTTGCAATTATTTTTCTTATTACTTGCTCCCAAACTTATTCATTTAGCTCAAAATCTTAAATAATCTGAGTTGAGCTTAGCACAGAAATACTCTCAACTTGTTGAGCGAACTAGCTTGACACCCTCCATATAGAGTGAGTTTAACCAAAAAGAATTAAGTTATGATTAAATTGATATTACATTTGACGAATTGATCCCTTTAGTATATCCGTAAACGACAAAAGAGTGACCAACCCCAAAAGACTTTAAACAAAACAAACAATTAAACCTCAGCTAAATTTACCAATTTCCATCTTCTTCTTGATTGCTTTTTGCCCATGGTATACAAACGCATCTATTATCCCAGATACAGTGAAAACACCTGCATATTTCAGTTTTGGATTTTTAATGCAGATCAACCAAAAGATGCAACAAAAGAGTTCTTAAACTCGTATGGTATTATATGATTATTGATTACCTCCAACTATGGCACAAACATTCGTCAAGAAGTGCAAGAACGATATATGTTCCTCTGTAAAAGTTACCTACCGAAAACAACACATATTTTAGGATTATGAAATATACTTTTTCCCCTCTCTAGGATTATAGTTAAAACACACTCACCTTGATTGGAGAAAGATCATAGAAGAAGAAAACTCCTGGTAAGGATTGTAGCTGACCTGCGTCTGAGCTCTTAACATGTTCGGTCACTGAGAACTGTGCCATTTTTACTTCAGTTTAATATCATAAAAGGATGAGAATGAACAGAGAAATAAGGTCGAACAGTATAGAGCCTCGCGCTTCACCTGATTTGATTGAATTGTGTGTCCACTGATATCTGTGTATACTGTTGGTACAACCTTTACAAGAGGAGACAACGCAGGATTGAGTTAAGACGAGTAAATTTTAAGGAACTTTGATGTTAATATTTTATCAAGGAACAAACCTTAATAAAGTATTGGTACATAGCATTAGGTGTGTCTTGACTCCACTGGACTCTGCAATTTCAAGTACGTTAAAGAGCATAACAAAATAAATCGAGTGACGAATGGATTAGACCAGAATGGTCATTACCTGTCAAGAGGGTTCACGACGCCGGGGAAGTAGTCCCCATATGTAAGTCTGCTGATTTTGTGACTTATCTGTACAAAGTTGCAACAATTGAAATTTATATACACTGGATGCGAAAGGAATAAAATGAAACTAATTGATAGGTTCTTTCTTACGTTAAAACTGTCTTTCTGAAAAGCAAGAAGATCATGAACGTGAACGCCCGACTGATGAAAGCTTTTCCCAGGAGCAAAGTGGAAGTTCCCAGCCACTTTATTTACCTCCAAGAACCCGTATATATTACACCCTTCACCTTCTTCATCCTTTACTCTTTGTAGAAAACCTTCTCGTTTACACTGAATCACAAACAAACAAGTGAAACGTATTTCAGTCCACAGTTGGATGCTAGAAACTCTTGCAAGCATATTTCGCAAGTGCATACCAAATAAACAAAACCCCACACAAGCTTATAAGAGACTCTAACATAGAAGAAGGCGAAGACGAAAAAAAAAAACAAACTTGCTACTACCTTAATGTCAAAAAATTAAAACGTCAGGACACTATTTCTCAGCAATTCACCTGGTCAATCAAATCTGGATTTGTAACCCCCCAACCTTTCTTTCGATATGCTTCACGAACATCCTCACATGAATTGCAGCAGTCATGCACTTCCTGCAATGGAAAACAACAATTGTCACATCAACGCTAGGAAGCCAGACTGAAAACGCACTATCAACTATGATATGATAAGTATATATATTTCAGAAACACGATCCACTATGACATCTGTTTTTGTTTAATCCATTATGATCTAAGATCTCTTGACTAGCACTAAACAATCAATGCCGGTGTATTAAGTTCAAGAGTCGTGATCCAAAAATGCAATACGCAGAAAGACAGAAACACCGCAAAATTACCGCTTCAGCCCCATAGCAAGAGCCACAGTAAGTCTCGTTATGTTCTAGCCTGCCACCATGTTTCTGCAGTGGTTTTTCAATCTGCAGAAGCACAAAAAGTATGAGACTTTACAAAGGCCGAAAAACAAACCGCTTTCAGTTCTTGCTTTTATCTAGTCAATTCGCCATTTGCATGCAGCTTTATCCCAACTTGGCGATTCTAGAATCCCTGAGAACTTAATGACAAGCATGCTTCAAAATTCCGTTGAATAAAACACAAGAACCAAACCTTAGTAGCGCCTATTCCATCCTGTCTTGCTTCTATAGTGTTTCCATGAGAATCTAGTCTTCTCTTTATGATATCATGTTTCTGTTAACCCACAGTGAAAAATAATATCAGATCGGCCACACATTTGACAAACATAAATGAAGTTGCAAGCAAAAACGTCAGGAGCCTTTTCAAGAAAAAAAAAAAAACGTAAGGAGCATAAAAATCAAGTGTCTCTGAAACAATTCATCATACCACGTCAAGATGCAGCTCTCCACTAATATCCATGGCGTCTACACTGAGAATCGAACATGCTAGAGCAGGAAAAGTAATATCAAACTGCAACATTGAAAAATAACAATTTCAGAGATTTAAGAAAAAAAAAAAACACTGAACAGTCAAAAGATTACTTTTTAGGAAAAAACAACATTACATTGATGCGTAACGTTTCTCCTCTTGAAGTATCCACAACGAGCTTCGTCTCTGTAACAGTGTGAAGATATAATCCTAAACAATAAACAAAGAAAACCAAATTCAAAATAAAAACATAAAATCAAAAATCATTGCAATTCAAAAGAATCAGCAAAATTGAGTAGCGAAAATCCAAAACAGTCACATCATCACGTACGTAGCTCGGAGAAGAAGAGAAGAAACATAACGACGGATGAGACGAGGGTTATAACGCCGCCGGATAACGTACGGCTGTAAAAATCCTCATTGATCTTAGGATAAGCATCCAGATTCCGCAATTTATTCAGGATCCCGGCCATTTTTTAAGCCACCTCCGGGCACGAGATTCGCAGATTCAGTTTCTCCAGATTTGAAATCCAGCACCGAGCCTAATCCGGCGCAAAACGACGATCAGGACAAGATGTCCGGAGAGAAAATCAAACGAGAGAAACGTCGTCGGAAGCAAAATTCTTCCGACGATGCGTCAAAGAGATCCCAGAGAGAGAGAGAGAGAGAGAGAGAGAGAGATCGATTGAGTAGTTTGGTTTTTACTTCTTTGACTCCGTTTCGGTTCTTCACCGTCGGACGGAAGCGTTTACGGTCTACGTAAAACACGTTAGCGTTTGCCGTCTTCTCTTTCTTAACAGAAACGACAGCGTTTGTTTCGAGAGTTATGAGGCTATTGAATTGGATCTTTAGTTTGCCAAGTAAAAATTATGTAAGAAACATTGCAAGCTAAATTTACTTATTAGCTAGCTGTTTGGGAGTAAATTTCGAGATGTTATGTGGGGAATTGTGATTCATCGGAGATAGAGCCAGGTTTTCGAGTTCCGTCCTCTAGGGGAAAGATGGCGAAACGTCATTTCGGGATAGAGGCTTCCTGTCGCGAGGTGACGGGACGTGCGACATATCCGACCCTGTAAGCACTTAAACAAATGTCAGGCGAGCCTTCGGGGAGACCGAAAGGAGGTTTCTCTTCCGAAAGTTCTCCGACGTTCAAGTCAGTAAACATCCTATTGGGAACAGGTATTTGGGAAGAGAGTTTTCTACGGGTTAGTCGTGAGGAGACTCGTCCGAGGATCAAGTCTCCTGTCTGGTTTAGAGTGTTTTGAGAGGAATTTTTTACTCGTCAAAGGGGGAACGAAGCGGATATAAAGAAAGGCAAGATTCCGAATAAGGGATAACTTAACTTGGTCGGCATTCACTCGGAAGGAACATGAAGTTCGTCCGTGATCCTGCTGCATGGCCGGGAATATTATCTCGGATATCGGAAAGTAGGCCTTTTCAATCGCCTTGGTCCTCCACCCTTTTTTTCAAAGGGTTTATCTTCCATTCATCCTCGTTATTCTCTTGTCATATCCCTTCTGAGCCACGCGCCCATGGGCAGGTAGGAGTAATGATTCTGGTGTGTTAGGGAAAACTCGCCAACTGCCTCGGTACAGTACCCGATAGTGGATCGGCCGAGTTAGCGTAGCGTATGTCCGCACTCGATGTAGCCTAGGTCCATGTGGCGAGTTTTCCTTCGACCTAAAATAGGTCCCAACATTAACACCATATTTTTTCTTATTATTTATTTATTAATTAATTCTATCTTATTTACTACAATTTTACAACTTCTCTAAAATATAATTTTTTTTAACATGCAAATATGATAATGTAGATTTGGTAAAATAAATAAAATATTTTGATTAATTGAATTAAAAATAAATAAAATTATAAAATTCTAACATAAATATACTAGATTATAAAATTAAAATTAACAAAAAATGATAATTATATGTTTTTTACTATATTCATAATAAACTGAATGAAATATGATAATATTTTCTTACAACAAATTATATATTATAATTTCACACAGAAATAATAATAATTATCGATTATTCAATATGATAAGAAATATTCTATAAATTAAAAAAAATGTTGGATATATGATTTAATATTATTTTTAAAAGTTATTAATTTATAAAAATCTAATAAAAAATCTGAACAAATTTTAATTAAACACATTATTAAATAATAGAATTTAATAAACTATGATAAAATAATTTAAAAAATAAATATGGTTAAAAAAATATAATAATTAACTTTTATTAAATTTTTTTTATAATTAATATCATTTAATATAAATTTTCTTTTCAAACAATTATTTACTATGTCAAATGAATAAAATATATATTAATTATTATGTTATAATATTAATAGAACCATATACTTGTATATAATTTTCTGAACACTTTTTTTATATTGTTGTTTTTTAAAATTTACAAAACATCCATTACCATTTCATATCAGCCCTTATCTTCTATTTTTTTTTATATAAAAACAAAAGTTTATATCATAAGGAGTTGTCCTTCCGATTACTCTCTAACACTCAAGTCAGAACAAGACACGAGACTGATCGAGAGAATCTAAAAATATCGGGAGAGCAGGAAGGGGATGCTTTATAACTCAAAGTGATCTTGATAAAGTTTCAGGGTGAAGGTGTGTGTTAAATAAAGCTATATGATGAACTATATCTCTCTAGATTTCTCCTCTTACTGTTGGTATGTGAAAAGATATTTATTGAAGATACCTGGTAGCGGGTCGGATACTGGCCGGTGCTCCATGTTCTTCTCCACTGTTCTCGAACTGACCGGACTTTCCCATGCGTGTTACTAAAGAAGGAGTCATTGGCCTGCTCTGCCTCTCCCTAGCCGCCATAATTGCGGCTTGCTTTGGTAGGTGCAAATTATCTAATGCTCTTTGGGTTCCCGTGGTATTTGCTTCCCACACATTAGGCTTAGTGGGCTGCAGCACAATTTGTGGCTCAACAGTTGCCCCTGACTTTCAAAGCTGGTTCGGGCAAGGTTCAGAAGTTTATCCAGCTCTCCATTTGGCATGGTTACATGAAACAATGAAGGGTTTTCGAAACAAACATGTTTATCACGTTCCTATAAAATTTAAATCGGTAGTGACCTCATAAGGCAATCACGAAGGATAGTTTCCGGAGGAATTTTCCCTGAGGGTGAGCCTCATAAGGCGATCACGGAAAATAGTCCCTTGAGGAATGTTCCCCGGAGTAGGATATTATTTTGCGCTCTAGTCCCTATAGTTGTTAGTGAATCTCCACATCGACACGAGCATTTTACACCTTTTGGGTGGATCGCCTCGAATCCCACAAAAGAGATCTTCTAGGGTTGTATTTTATCTCTGACTCTTTCGTCTTCTCTTCTATTAGCTTATTTTGGGGTTTTTTCCTTTACAGCGCCTGATTCTTCTGCTTCTCTTTTGGTAAGATCTTTCTCTAACCTTCATATTGATTTATGGAAATGGTCTTACGTACTTCCCCTAGGAGGACAGATTCTCTTGGGGGTCAAGGAAGACCATGTTTCTTCATTATCAGATTGGGACCCGAGTGATTACTCCTCAAAGGGGAAACCATGGATCATCTTCCGCAACACTCTGATGCAGGAGGGGGGGGGGGGGGGGGGGGGGGGGGGGGGGGGATAGCGAACTCTGTTGAAGGAACCACTCGCTGTCCCAGGAGAAGGCGCACCTCCGCAGAAGATTTGCCTTCTTATTTCCTGTCCCGAGAATGAGGACAGTACCTTGCTGCTCGTCTTCGACGATTCGGCTTCCGATCGTCGGCCTCTGCCTAGCTGCATCGCTCAATATAGTAATTACTGGTCACATGGCCTTCGCTGTCGCCTCATGGTAGTCTTGGTTCAATTCTGCAATCTGGTGGGTATCTGTCCGAGCCAGCTGGGCTCGGCGACATGGGGCGTGCTGAGCTCATTCCATGTTTTGAGCGATCTGTCGAGGATACATAGCCCCGCGCGAGTTATTAGGCTTTTTATACCTTTTGAATGAGCACCTAGAAAGACTCTTGATACAAGAGTTTTTACACTCTTGTGACTCAATTCCTCAAGTCTGATACAAGAGTTTTGAGTCTCTTTCTCAATCACCCTTTGTACTAGTCATTGTAGTAAGGGTTTTATGTCAATCCAAAAGGGAAAGATTGAAACAGCAGGAATGCAGTAGATTTCCTAATTCAAGCAGATATAGAGAGAGTTTAGAAGTCTAACAACCTAGATGATCAAATAGAAATGAAGCAAACACCAAACTAAGAGTGAATAGCAAGCAAAATTACTAAAACATAAGCAAAAACAGGGCAATTTCGAAATGAACTAAAAACAGAGGAAAGACAAGACTTGAGATGGGATAATTAGTGCTAGGGAACTCTCAACTCAACCTATGATGCTTACAAACTCATACAATGCTATTCCTTATGCATATGATTCATTTATATGACTAATCCAATCTCTTGACACTAATTTCCTTACTAATCATCAAATCAAGAACTAATTCTCATTAGTGAAGTGATAAACAGCAAGCATTAAGACAATCTATCTATCCTATATTGCCAAAACACTCCCTAGACAGTCAATCTCTTGAGCTAGGACAAGCAATTATCTTGCAAAGCAGTTCAGACATTTTATCAAACACTTGGTAGGCATAAAATGAGCATAAGATCCTAATCAATTTAGCTAAGGCTAATCAGGCATTAAACATATCAATCAAAAAAGAAAAATGGAAGCATTAACACTAAGCAATCATAAATCAAACATCAAATTCCTTAAATCTAATCCATCTCAAATCCCTAGGTCACTACTCACTAATCACCCTCAAAACCATCAATTCAAAGAGAAAAGGATAGCAAATCATGATTAGAGATAGGGATGTCAAACGGGCTCACAATCCGCGGGTTCGGCTCGTTAAGATCCATCATGGGACGGGTTTGGACATTTTTTATAAACCGTTAATTAGCGGGTTTAGCGGATTAACCCGTCATGGGTTTTCGGGTTTGGCGGGTTAACCCATAGCGGATTTGTCCGCAAATCATCAATTTTTTTTAAAAAAAATTGGTTCTATGTTTTGTGAATGATTTTTTTCTGGTTTAGATATATTATTTGAATAAATTAAATCATATCAAACAAAACTAAACCAAACGTAAACACTTAGATAATTTTAGTTTTACCATTACGATTAGTCAATTAGCCCTAACTTAAATAGAGTTACAGCAGAGCCATCGACCATCATCATCACTCATCACGCCAAGTAGCCAAACCAATTTCTTTTGTTCAAGATTACAAAGAGACAAAGAACATCAATACTTCAAAAGTTGTTATGAAGAACTTTGTAACTGTTTTTTTGAGCAAAATTATAAGAAGAAACAATTAATGTTTGTTGAGAATTTGTTTTCATAATAGTCAAAGTGTTCAGTTTTTAAAATTACAAACATCTCGATCGCTCGATGCATCATTGCCTCATTAATAAACAATGTCACTTATTTATTTGCAGGATTCACATGGATTCAGCTCTTTGAAATCGGTGGATTTTCAATCTCAAAAGCTTATTAATAAAGCAAACGCTGAGGAGGAACGACGACTTTCGGATGAAACAGAGGTAAGCTTTTCCATTGATGTTGAATATGATAATCACAAAGCAACATCATCGCAAACGACACAGATGAATCGCGATTCAGTTTTCGTAAAAGAGCATCATAATTCTCTTGGGTCAGAGAAATGCAACACCTGCAACACCTTAAACAAACAAAAAACGAACTGTTGGCGAGGCTGAATGTGATGATGACAAAGGAAAGTCATCTGAACCTAA